TCGGAAATTTTTGTTTTACATTGGAATCTACATTCAGAACCACAAGTTCTTTGAATAGAACGTGCTTCAACATTTTTTTTTGTTGAACGTGAAGTATATTTTAATCCTAGATTTACTGACTTTTTTGTGACATTTACTTTCCATTTTTCAGGATGACATAATCTTTTTCTTGATTTTGGCTCATCTGGTTCTTCGATCGTCCTTTTCTCTCCTTTATCCATAGATTCACTTGAATATTTGTCAATATTTGAATCAATGGATACTTTTTCTCCATAGTCTTTAGGAATTTCTATATCGTCATCTGAAGATAAAAAAACTTCTTCCTGCACCCCTGAAGACTTGTTCCAAAAATCCAAATCAACCTCCAAGTCATCATCATGATTTAAAAGTTCAGTGTCATTTAAAAAATCGCCGTTTACAAAATTAGAGTCCTTTGAAAAAGTAGACAAATTTGGGTTTAAGAAATCAAAATTATCATTTGAAAATGAATTGCTCATATCAATTTCGGGTATTTTATTTTCATTATTTTCTGGTATCGGTAGCTGACCACATAAATTATTATTTGTCTTGATTACGATGTTTCCTGAATCCATATCAAATAACTTATTCATCTCTTCAGATAAATCTGTATCGAAAAATGTTAAAAATTAATATAAGTTTACATTAATTTTTCTTATTTATGGGACGCATGAATAAGTTCTAAAATTAATTTGTTAAAATTTCCATTTCTTAGAATTTTCTTTTACCGAATTTTTATTTGATCGAATTATTATTTGACAGAATTTCTTTTCAACTGATTTTTTACATTACAGAATTTTTATGTAACCAAACATTCACTTGACAGAACTTCTATTTAATCGAATTTTCATAAGCTCGATTTTTTAATAAACAGAATTGCCACTTAGACGAATTCTTATTAGACAGAATTTTAATAGAAAGAATTTATTTTTATCCGAATTTTTATTTTTTAGAATTATTATTTCACAGAATTTTCATTTCATCGATTTTTCAAATTACAGAATTGTTACTTAACGAAATATTCATTTAACAGAATTTCCTTTTGATCGAATTTTTATGTGTCAGAATTTTCATCTTTTCGAATTTTCATTAAACAGACAATTCATTTAAACAAAGTTTTATTAGGTAGAATTTTAATAGAAATAATTTACTTTTAGCGGAAGTTTCATTTCTTAGAATTATTATTTAGCAGAATTTTAATTTAATCGATTTTTAACATTGCAGAACTTTTATTTAGTCGAAATTAAATTTAACAGAATTTCTATTTGATCGAATTTGGATTTGTCAGAATTTTTATTAATTCGAATTTCCACTAAACAATATTTATTTAGACGAATTTTTGTACGACAGAATTTCCATTTCACTGAATTTTTATTTGTTTGAATTCTTATTTGAATGAATTCTCATTTGAAGGAATTCTTAAAACGTCGAATTTGCATTTGTCCGAATTTGCAAATGGTCGAATAAGCATCCGGCAGAAACGATTCAGCGCGAATTTTAAAATTAACCAATCATAAATTTCTTGATAACTTCTGATTGGTTAATTTTAAAATTCGCGCCGAATCGTTTCTGCCCGATGCTTATTTGGCCATTTGCAAATTCGGACAAATACAAATTCGACGTTATAAGAATTCTTTCAAATGAAAATTCGTTCAAATAAGAATTCGTAAAAATAAAAATTTGGTGAAATGGAAATTTTGTCATACAAAAATTCGTCTTAATAAATATTCTGTTTAATGGAAATTCGAATTAATAAAAATTATGACAAATCTGAATTCGATCAAATAGAAATTCTGTTAAATTAAATTTTGACTAAATAAAAGTTCTGCAATGTATAAAATCGATTAAATTAAAATTCTGCTAAATAATAATTCTTTAAAATGAAACTTGCGCTAAAAATTCTACCTAATAAAAATTCGTTTAAATGAATAGTCTGTTTAATGGAAATTCGAAAAGATGAAAATTCTGGCACATAAAAATTCGATCAAATGAAAATTCTGTTAAATGAATAATTGGATAAGTGACAATTCTGTAATGTAAAAAATCGATGAAATAGAAATTCTGTGAAATAATAATTCTAAAAAATGAAACTTCACATAAAAGTAAATTCTCTATATTAAAATTCTGTCTAATTAGATTTCGTCTAAATGGCTATTTTGTTTAACAAAAAATCGAGCATATGAAAGTTCTGAGAAATAAAAATTCGATGAAATAGAAGTTCTGTCAATTGAATGTTCGGTTGTATAAAAATTCTGTAATACAGTAAAGCAGATAAATAGAAATTCCGTCAAATTAAAATTCGGTTAAAAGAAAATTCTATTTAATGAAATTCTAAGAAATGGAAATTCTAAAAAATTAATTTTAGAACTTATTCATGCGCCCCTTATTTATTTTGGTTAATTATTTATTTATGGCAATCAATTATTATAAAAACGATTTTTAAATATATATTTTATTGTTGTCAAATTAATGAAAAATTATTTAAGGAAAGACAAAATTTTATGTATTACAAGATTTTATGTTTATATTATATTTTTATTCCAATTATTTTATCTAAATTATTTACCAGTTGAAGTAGATGCTTTTGAATCCATTTCAAATCAAAGTATATTTTGGAATGGTTAATACTGTATTCTCACAAATCTACACAAAAAACGGTAGACGTAAATTTTAACTTAATTACATTTTATTTCTTAAATTAATAATTACTTTTTGAATAATTATTGATAAAATTTCACATAATTTTATAAACTTAACTTTGTTAACTTTTTAAACTTCGTAAAAGAATTATAATAAAACTGAAGGTTTATAATCATAAAATGTATTATAATATTTATTTATAAGAATAATTTAAAAATATTTCATTAAAAAGATGAAATTGTATATAAGAAGAATTTTAATCATATTTGAATTTTACTATAAAATCTTATTTTACAAAGTTCCGTTTTTATAATACAAACCAGCTCAATTAATATGTTGAAGAATCCGTAAGAAATCCATTTCTCTACCTAATTGTTCAGCATTTTTAAAACTAACGAATTTTCTAACAAAATATCACAATTATATTATGTAGATAATTAAATAATTATCTCTTCAACAAGATTATGGAATGACATTCCGTTCTTTGTCAATTGTCAAAAAATGAAATTAGGGGCAAATGAAATTCTTTTTTTTTGACAATATTGACAAAAGACATAACATGCAGTAATTTAGATTTCAGAAAATTTTTTAATTTTTTGATATTTTTAAAACAAACTTTAGAGAAATTTCTATTAAATAAATTAATTTTATGCTGACTATTTTTTATGTAAATCTATCGGAATACAGTATTAACCTATCAGGCCTTCCTGAATGAAGTGAATTTAGGAGCAATCTACTTCAACTGATATGTAATTTAAAGTAGGTTCATGTAAAACATAAAATTTTTTTTTATTAACAAGAATTTATCAATATTGCGACGACATAAAAATAAAATATTTAAGTCATTATTGTAATAATTAATGGTTAGAAAAATAAATCAATGATGAATAAAAAAATAAGATAAATTTAAATTAACTTTTACCATTTTTGCATACAAATTTATCTCAAGGAATAACATATTTCATGTAAATTGAAGAACCAAAAGAATTAATTTATACACATTTTTACACATTTATATGTGAACAGAATCCAAAATATAAAATAAAGATATTTCTGTTTCAAATAACTTTAAGTTAATGAACGGCAACAATTGATTAAATAATACTTCGAAAAATACTGATCGGAAAAAAATTTTGCAAATTTTATGCTTAATGGATTTTGCATACGTTTTGCTTAATTTTTCTGCTAAATTAATTTTACCAAATCAATATTGCAAAAAATTTTGCAGTCGTATAATTGATTTTGCAAAATTAATCTGACAAAAACAATCTTGCAAAAAAATGTCGCAGATTTTGTGCTTTATAGATTAATTAATTAATTTTGCAAAAAAATGTTCTTAAGTTTATGTATTGTAGACTGATCAATTAATAAATTTTGCAAATTAATTTGGAAGAGAATATAAATTTTTTGAAAGATGCTTCAATAGAAAAAGGTACCAAGTACAATTTTCAGATGTATAAGTTCCTCAAGACTCTAGAAAAAAAGTATTCATCGAATCAAATATTAGCGAATGTGCAAGTGAACCAATACCAGGAGAGAACCAGAAAACCAGAAAAACCTATAACATAAAATCTTTTGAAACAAAACAAATATATTTAAAAATTATTTTCAACTTATTTATATATTAAACCTCAATCTTCTACGAAATATTGAATAAGAATTTTTTTGATTGCAATCTTAGAAAGGATTTGTTTTTTCTCGCATTTAATTCTGAAAAGAAATTTTATTACACGAAAATTTGAATAAGACTTTTATTACTCGGAACCTTGAATAAGATTTATATTCCTCGGAAATTCGAATAAGACTTTTATTCCCCGAAACTTCGAATAAGACTTTTATTCCCCGGAATTTCGAATAAGACTTTTATTCCTCGGAAATTCGAATAAGACTTTTATTCCCCGAAACTTCGAATAAGACTTTTATTCCCCGGAATTTCGAATAAGACTTTTATTCCACAAAATCTTGAATAAGAATTGTATTACATTGGCTTTTCAATAAGCATTATATGAACAGGAGGCGTCGATATGAAAAAATTGTCAGTCGAGACACTCAAAAGAGATATTGAAGAAGAAATCTGCGAATAAGGAAAAATAGTCGAGAAAAAATTAAAGAGTAGAACATTTGATTGTAATTAACGAAGGCGAAAAGTTACCAAAAACTCTGTATTCAGTATACAAGGAAATAAATTATTATTATTATTATTATTATTATTATTATTATTATTATTATTATTATTATTATTATTATTATTATTATTATATGTATAATCGTAGCTAAAAATAATCCTATGTATGGACTCTTGAGTCCTAAAACATGAAATGTATAAAAAATGTAAATATTAATTAAATTGTGTGCGTTCATTTATTTAAGCAAAAATAATTACACAACTGCAAAAAAATATACCAACTTTCACTATAACTTTCTCTAACATATTTATAAAATATACATCGTTTAGAGTATTTACATTCACAATTATCGTTGTTTTTTGTTAAAAATATAGCGTTATTATTACTATATAATGTACGAAGAACTATTTAAACAGATTTTTTTAGAAACTGAGAAGAAAAAGGCGTTGATAAGCGCATATTTGCTGTTTATTTAATCGATTCGAAAATCTCAATTTCAAGGCGATTTTAGAAACACAACAATCAATGATCGATAATCAACCATTTATCTGTAATTTGATCGATTTGTTTCGTAAGAATTGGATTACGAAGGCGCATTTTGACTTCCAATTTTCCCCCCGTTGCTTTCCTTCCATCCATCAGCTGAAAAATACGATCACAATTGAAAGTACATTTTTTACATGAGATAATATTTTATAACTTTTGGAATGTTTTATTTCAAGTAAAAAAGGTTTTCTGCAAATACACTCGAAAATTTAGAAACACATTTTTACATTTAAAAATAAATATTTAAATTAAAAACAAAATTAATATAAAAGATCTGTAAATGACTAAACAATTAGTTATAAAAATAATTTACCGGAAAAGAATCATGTAAAATGCACTGTGTTTCGAGAGGTTGTAATTTTACAGACACAGTACCTAGTAAACTATCACGTTTGAAAAATCCCCTGAAACAAAATTGCAAAATTTTATTAGACAAGACTATAAAAATACTAAAAAAATTTTATATTTCAAGTTTCTACATGTCAATAATTCTATTCAACTAATGCAAAATACTAGCGATAAAATCTACAAAAGAGATTTCTTTGCAATTGAAAAATGTAATGGTGCAGTATGTCTTGTTCTAATCATTAAAAGTCTGAATAAAATGTTTGAACTTTTGAGTCTCCGGAAAGAAGAATTCGAATCTAAATGCCAATGCAAATTTCAGTTACACGAAAAATTGTCAATACTGAAATCTAAAAACATTTCAATTAGAATTACTAAAGATTTTTAATTCTAAAAACTAATTTTTCTAGAATGTTTAGAAAATTTTAGGAAAAAATGATTTATGATAATGGAAAAAAACTACTATAATGAGAAACAAAAAAAAATTGGAAAATGATAGACAAAAGAAAAAGAAAACTACTTTATGCAGTATGTAAGTTCGTGATTTGCAAATAACTGTAATTTTTTAAAGGGACAAATCCTGCTCAAAAAAAGACAGTTATTTGCAAATCACCCAAGTATAAATGCGGATCCATTCACCAAGTAACTACCTTGGAAGTCAAACATGCGTTTACGAAATTTTCATACCTTGGGTGAGTGCAACACAGGATTGGGTTCAGCGAGCATCTGCAAGCAACAACCTATTCTATGAACTATATGATAACCTGATAAAGAAGCAGGAATCTATTTCACACCGAAAATAATAAGTGAATTGAACGAAAAAGTTAATAAAAGAAAACTAGTTAGGGTCAGTTGGGGTAAAAGGGGACAAAATCCCTATTTTTCACAAATTACGTAAGTTTCTTCCTTTAAAAGGTAATATTTGCGGGTTTATTTTTTTTAAGTTGTTACTTACATTCCCAGGATTAATTTTATGCAGCAGAAAAAAATTTAGATAAGCTTTAAACGCATAAAACTGAATGTCCCCATTTACCCCAAGATTTAGAAAATTTCTTAAAATTTAGGGTAAATGGGGACAGCATAGTTTTTAAGAAAGGTTTCAGAAAAAAGTTTCCTTAAGTATATTACTGTATAAAGGGATGAAAAAACTTGAAAAAATTGTAGTAGATATATAATAATTAAACCAATTGAAATTTTTTTATTTATTTATTTTTTTTTATTTCAGTATTTTGTCTTGCATTTGAAAAAAAAAGACTTAAAAATTATACAAATTGATTTTCTTATTCCTTATGACTCCCATAACAGAAATTCACTTAAATTTTTGATTTTTGTCAATTTGGTTAATAATAACAAGCTCTCCCCATGTACCCCGAGCTTTTAAATTCTTGGGGTAAATAAGGAGAGCTTGATATTATTAAGCAAATTGACAAAAATCAAAAATTTAAGTGAATTTCTGTAATATGTGTCTTATATAAGGAATAAGAAAAATTTTTTGAATGATTTTTAAATCTGTTTTCTTTGAAATGCGAGACAAACTACTGAAACAGTTTGATTTTAATTTTCAAGGTTTTATGCATTGAGCAATGACTTAAATTATCTTGCTGACAATTGTCAAGATAAAAGCTTGTCAATACTCAGAACCTCTTGTAGGTGATCTGAGGTTAAAATATTGACGTTGAACTTAATTTGAAAACAGTAAATTAAGCTCCAACACCTCTTGTCCCTATTTACACCAACTGACCCTATGTACCATTAAAAATCAACCAAAATTATAACCTGTGCGTTTTTGGGAAAAGAGAAGAGACTGTACATTAGAATGGCCCAAAAATACACTGTCAAATTTTTCTTAATCTAAAAAAGCTAGAATCTTCCCTTCTTCGCGAATATAGTTTAAAGTCTAAGGGAAACTTAAATAATACGATAATATGAACGTAATTTTTAAAAACTAAATTTTTTTAAATAATTGAATTAAAAGAAGTAAATTAATTAAAAAATAATTCAATTTAAATACAATTTAATTTTTAAAGTCAATAAATTTTATTGTTGGTGGATTAATAGTCTGAATAATCTATTTCCAAATTTTCACTTTGAGAAAAATTATAAAAATTCTATTTTTATAAAAATTTAATACTGGTACTGCAATGTATTAAAGTTGTTAAATTAAGTCACTATTCTATATTTTATATTAACTACAAGGTTTGAATTTTTTACTTTTTAATAAAATCTTTAAAAGGATTTAAAAATAGAAATTTAATTATTTTCAGTTGATTTTGTACCTTTCTAATAAGCAGAAAAATTTATTAGAAAAAAAATTCGTTGGTAAAGTTATAAACAATTCAAATTTTTAGCTGCCTTAAATAAAAAAAAATTTTTCCCAAGATTTGAATGACAAATTTAAAAACAAACAAATAGATTGTTCTCTTCTTGAAATGTAGTATTTTAAAACAATTTTTATTATAAACAGTTTTTTAAAATTATTTAACTACAAAATATTAATAAAAAACAGTGTTCTCCATCTTCTAAGTAAAATTTGAAAATTGTTTTATATTTCCCATAAATTTCTGTGTATAAAACCGTAGAGAAAAAAATGACACTCAATTGGAAAAATGTTATTTAATAAATCATTATTCAATTATGTAATAATTTATTAATAAATATTTTTTATTAAAAACAATACGAGATAAACATTCAAAGTCATATCTCTCATTACACGTAATTATTGTTTATAATAAATTATTATTATAAAATAACTTTTTTCCAATTAAGTGTCATATTTTTACAACGAATTTATACTCAAAAAAGCATGCGAAATAAGAAACAATTTTTTAATTTTATATAGAACATGAAGAACACATTTTTTGTTAACATTCTGTAAGTAAACTATTTAAAAAAATATTTAAAAGCAGAATTTTTTCAAAACAAAAATTATTTTTAAATACTTCATTAGAGACGGGAAAAACCTATTTTTTGTTTTTAAAGTCCACTGGATTTAAAAAAAAAATTTGTTCTTTTTAGGGTTCCGTACACCTTCGGTGCACCCAGTTGAAAATTCCGACCTCGTTTACGACGTCGTATTTTAAGTAGTTTGCGACGTAGTAAACGACGTAGTAAACGACGTAGAAAACGACGTAGAAAACGACGTCGTAAATGAAAGCGGAATTTGGGATAGCAAACTACGTCGTTTACGATGTCGTTTACTACGTCGTTTACGATGTTGCAAAAATTATTTTAATATTATTTATTTAGCAATTTAGTAAGTCCAATATCCTATATTATATTAAAAATTTTAATAATAATTTAAAAAATCAATAATTTAAAAAAAATTTATTTTTATTATTTTTTAATAGTTATTATTATTATTTTATTTTTAATATTTAAATTAAAATAAAAAAATGGTCATCAAAATATTAGTGAAACCATTTCTTCCAAAAAAGAATTTGTCTCAAATCCAATAAAGGAGAGACATCGGGCAGAAAAAAATTTCGACAAAAAAAAAATTTTCGATCACTGCTTATATACCAATCTAATGGCACCTCAACTGCGAGAAACAGTTATGATGTTCGCCCTCCCTGTGGCGTTGAGCGAACTTAAGTCCATAGCTGAGCCATCAGCGCAGCGCGGAAACATTTGAAAAATTTGATTTTATTAGATATTTTATTTTATTTTAAATATGACAAATAATTAATGTCATAAATAATTATTAATAACATAATGTCATACTTAATAATTCGTTAATTAATTATTTTTAACGAAAATTTGACAAAAAAAAAATTTGTTGGCCAAAAAAAATATTACCATTAAAAAATAATTTTTTTGTTAAATTTTCGTAGTAAAAAAAATTTTTTTAAGACAATTATTTGTGACCTAAAAAAATATCACGATGAGAATATAATTAAAAAAAAAATTACTCGTAGCACAGAAAAAATTTCACCATGAGAAAATAATTTTTTTAAAATTTTATTTGTAAAAAATTTATTGGTAGCTCAAAAAAAATATCACGATGAGAAAATAATTTTTTGTCAAATTTTCTCTGTAAATAAATTAATTAACTAAATAACGTACCGTAAAACGGGGTTATTTCGCTCATTGCGGGTAAATTCGCTCACCCACTTTTATGCTTTATTTCAGCTTTAAAATAAAGTTTAATACATTTATTAGCCGGTTAAATTTTCGTAGTAAAAAAATTAATTAACTAATTATTAAGCTAACTAGCAAAATTAAACGCGCGCAAGCGCGCCAAATTGAGGATTTAATTATTTGTTAAAAAGAAATTAAAGATTAATATTATTAATAATAATTTAATTTATTAGAATATGATAACATATTAAATGATAATAATGAAAATTATATGTTTACAGGCCTCGGATTATACGACTTTTTCCGACTTTTTTCAAAAATACGACTTTTATCGACTTATTTTAATAAAATGCGACATTTTTTTTACATTAGAAAAAAATGTAAATAAAATACATTTTTTTTTTGTATAAAATGTAGATCTTCTTCAGATCTTCTTCAATTCAATTATTTAACAAATGAACTAAAATGATTCTTCACTAAATTAATTATTTTTAATAATTTTAATTAAATACATCACAAATTCAATTATATCAAAATTAATTTTCAATTAAAATTTTTATGAAATTTAACAATTGTTTATAATTTAAAAAAAAATATCACAATAAAATTGAATTATTTTTTAAAAATTTCAATTCAAAATAAACTAAAATTCAATTATTACCCGAAATTTTAATTCAAAATCAATTAAAATTCAATAATTATCCAAAATTTTCAATTTAAAATTTAATTATTTACCAAGTTTTTAATTTAAAATGAAATAAAATTCAATTATTTTCTAAAATTTCTATTCAAAATTAATTATCCAAATTTTCAATCAAAAATGAACTTAAATTAAATTATTATCCAAAATTTCAATTAATATTCAATTATTTCCCAAAATTTTCAATTCAAAATGAACTGAAATTCAATTATTTTCCAAATTTAAAATCAAATAAAATTTCATTATTCTCAAAAATTTGAATTCAAAATTAATTGAATTTTCAATAATTTGAATTTAAAAGCATCTAAAATTTCTAAAATTTTCCATCGAAATTTTTTTTTTTGAAATTTAATAATTTCAATTATAACTCTAAGGAAATTCAATTATTTTTAACTATTTTAATAATATTCTTTGAAAATTCAACTATGTGAAACCATTTTTCAATTAAAAATGATTTTCAAATTATTGTATTTTGTCCGCATTTTCTAATAAATTTTTAGTGAAATCATCTAAAATTTTAATTACAAAACACTTAAAGTTTCAATTAATTTCAAAAATCTCAATTTTAAATCTTTGAAAATTCAATTAAATTTAAAAAATGTTTTCCAAAAATTGTTTGATAAATTATTTTTAGTTCTGTAAAATTTAATAATTGTTTGAAAATTAACAATATCTTTTGAAATTTAATTATTTCTAAAAATTTCATTTTTAACCCTTCGAAAAGGATTATTATTAAAAAAAAAAATTTCATTTAAAAATCTGTAAAATATTTTTGTTAAAATGAAAAACAAATCCACTTTTTTTTGGAATATAAATCGACTAAAACGACTGTTTTGTGTCTTTAAGTTGATTCGAGGCCTGTGTTTTTATAATTAATATTTAATAGGTAATCGTTGGCCCCTGGTACCTTAAAAATAAATTTTTTTCAAATTACTATCTTGTACGAAATTTCCTGGCGCATCTTTTTTCTCATCATAAATTTTTTGTATTTGTATACAATTTTTGAATCAATATACAATTTTTAAATTAATATACAACTTTAAAAAAAATTTCGTTGGTAAACGTTGTGTACTTCAACTTCGTGAATTGAATTTTCGAATTTGGAATTTTAAAGAAATTTATTTTATTATTTTATTTTAAAGAAATTTGGAAACACAATTATACAACTTTGGCAAAAATGAGAAAAAGAATTGTCAAAATTTGACACGTCATAAGATTACTATTCAAAAAAACACGTGAAATCAGAAAAGGCCAACTTCAAGTTAGGACAGAAAGACAGACCAAACATTTTATTATTATATAATTATTTAATTAATTTTTTTTACAGAGAAATTTTGACAAAAAAATTATTTTCTCATCGTGATATTTTATTTGGGCCACAAATAATTTTTTTACTGAGGAAATTTTAAAATAAGTAAATTTCTCATCGTAATATTTTTTTGTGCTACGTACAATTTTTTTGTTAAATTTTTTGCAGAGAAATTTTTACAACAAAATTATTTTTCATCGTGATTTTTTTTAAAAACACGAATTTTTTTTTTCAAAGAAAATTTGAAAAAAAATTATTATTTTATCATTGTGATATTCTTTTGTGCTACGAATAAATTTTTGGTAAATTTTCGTAGTAAAAAAAACAACGATTTATTACGGTATTTAGTGAATTAATTGTTTTGGAGAGAAAATTTGACAAAAAAGTTATTTTCTTATCGTGATAATTTTTTTAGGCCACAAAATATTTTTTTTACAGAGAAAATTTAAAAATAATTAAAATTCTCATCTTGATATTATTTTTGTGCTACAAATATTTTTTTGTTACATTTTCGTAGTAAAAAATTAAGTAACTAATAATTACCGTAAAACAGGGTTATTTCGCTCAGTGCGGGTAAAGTCGCTCACCAATTTTTTTGCTTTAAATTTGATTAAAAACTAAAATTTAGTATTTCTATTAACAAATTTAACATTTTAACCTGGTAATAAATGTATTAAACTTTATTTTAAAGCTGAAATAAAGCATAAAAGTGGGTGAGCGAATTTACCCGCAATGAGCGAAATAACCCCGTTTTACGGTACGTTATTTAGTTAATTAATTTATTTACAGAGAAAATTTGACAAAAAATTATTTTCTCATCGTGATATTTTTTTTGAGCTACCAATAAATTTTTTACAAATAAAATTTAAAAAAAATTATTTTCTCATGGTGAAATTTTTTCTGTGCTACGAGTAATTTTTTTTTTTAATTATATTCTCATCGTGATATTTTTTTAGGTCACAAATAATTGTCTTAAAAAAATTTTTTTTACTACGAAAATTTAACAAAAAAATTATTTTTTAATGGTAATATTTTTTTTGGCCAACAAATTTTTTTTTTGTCAAATTTTCGTTAAAAATAATTAATTAACGAATTATTAAGTATGACATTATGTTATTAATAATTATTTATGACATTAATTATTTGTCATATTTAAAATAAAATAAAATATCTAATAAAATCAAATTTTTCAAATGTTTCCGCGCTGCGCTGATGGCTCAGCTATGGACTTAAGTTCGCTCAACGCCACAGGGAGGGCGAACATCATAACTGTTTCTCGCAGTTGAGGTGCCATTAGATTGGTATATAAGCAGTGATCGAAAATTTTTTTTTGTCGAAATTTTTTTCTGCCCGATGTCTCTCCTTTATTGGATTTGAGACAAATTCTTTTTTGGAAGAAATGGTTTCACTAATATTTTGATGACCATTTTTTTATTTTAATTTAAATATTAAAAATAAAATAATAATAATAACTATTAAAAAATAATAAAAATAAATTTTTTTTAAATTATTGATTTTTTAAATTATTATTAAAATTTTTAATATTGGATATTGGACTTACTAAATTACTAAATAAATAATATTAAAATAATTTTTGCAACATCGTAAACGACGTAGTAAACGACATCGTAAACGACGTAGTTTGCTATCCCAAATTCCGCTTTCATTTACTATGTCGTTTACTATGTCGTTTTCTACGTCGTTTACTACGTCGTTTACTACGTCGTATACTACGTCGTTTACTACGTCGCAAACTACTTAGAATACGACGTCGTAAACGAGGTCGGAATTTTCAACTGGGATGTACCGACGGAACCCTTATGAAAAGACTCTTGCGTCTGTCCCAGCGTTGTGTCCCCACCCCCCTTAACTTCTACATTTTTGTATATGAAGAACTGCAATTTAATACACATAAGTATTTTCACGCGTAGATTATAGGAAAAATATAGCGAGACTGATTGGATTTGATAGAAGTCGGCAGGCAGTCACGGTTGAGCTTAGGATAAGTTCGACTGGGATTTGTGAATATAATATACTTCATGAGTAGAAATTTGTCAGCAGTCACGGTTGAGCTCACGATAAATTTGTCTGGGCCTTCTGAATATGATATACTTCATGAGTATATGTTTAGCAGGCAGACACTGTTGAGCTGACGGTAAGTTCGACTGTGGCTTGCATATAAGCGATAATTAGTGAGTAAATATTTAGCCATGTTATTTATTGAGACACGTGATCATACGAAACAATATTTTTGGCAAAAAACTGTAACATAAATTTCCCATTGAGTGAAGGTATCAAAAATAAAAGTTATACAAAGTAGATATTTAAATGTGTTTCTTTTTTTTATCTTTATTTATTTATATAAAAAAGAGTTTATTATTGTTGATGTACGGAACCCTTGAATAACTCGCACTTGTCCGTTTTTTATATATGTATAAGACAGCAAAAAATTTCAATTGTCTACAACTTTAAAAAAAAATTGTTTTGGTCTAATTTTTTCAGAAATTTATTCTAATTATAGTGGAAGTAAAAAAGCGATTTAAAATTGAAAATTATTTACTTTTTGAAAATTTTGGGTGATCCGTTTGAGAAATTTTGACCCTATAAATAATTTTTTTTAAATCGTTGATAATTAGAATCTAGAAAATTTAACTTTTCTCTTTATGCAACTTTGATAAATATTAATATTAAACTATAAAGTAAATGACAATTTTTCATTTACTAAAACTCCAAATTTTTCCAATAAATTTTAATTCGAAAAACTGAAACACTTAGCGAACTTGTTAATCCTTAAAAAAAATTTTGTTTGCATTCAGGCAGATTGCATGGGAAGATTTCTTGCCTTTTTTTAAAAAAATATTTTTTGGATCACACTATTGGATATGGATTTTTACATTTCTTTAAATACAATTTTTTTTCACATAAAAGATTGCAATTTCTCAAAAATTTTCATTAGAAAATCAATTTTTTCATTGTATTAGAAATATAAAAATCGACAACCATTTCTTAAGTTCTTTTCTCTAACGCATTATATTAAACGAACAATCTAGTGTCACAAAAGGATATTTAAAAGTAAAACAAAAATAGTTTAAAAAGACCTCAGGATGTAAATAATGTCAAGCAAAGATAAAAAAACTTACCCTTTAGACCAGATTTGACATTTTAATGAATGTCTCTTAAAAGTTCTTTGGCACTGACGAGAAGTACGATCAATAATTCCATTTAATGGAAAAACCGCATTATATTCTGGATTTGTAGTGTCACGGACTGTTGATGTAGAATCAGTCATATGATTATCGTTAGGATAAGGAAATTCATATATCACATAAGTATCGGCCTCTTTTGGAAAATTCACTCCTCGAATTATTGATAATTCCAAATCCCCATCGCTCAAATCCGTACTACATCTGTAAATCAATTTATGAATAAAATTCATTCAAGTGCAATCTAACTATTAATTAGTTCTTAATTAATAATTGAATTTTAAATCTTGAAAATTTTATAATTTCAAACATTGAAAATTAAATTTTCAATATGAAAAATGAAAAAAGTTTACGTACTGGACAATGGCATAAGTTTTAATTTCATAATGATGTTGAGGAGGAGGCGAACTATTTCGTTTACGTACTCGAAGCATGTCTAAATCACGAGTATAACCCAAAGCGAGTCTTTCCCATCTATTGTAGCCAGGAACATCGCCTAGACCCTTACAATGATCTCTTGTTGACAAACACCACTAAAATTAAATAAAATTAATTGTTTTTAAAATTAAATATTTTCAATCTTTTCGGACCAATCAATAAATATGAAAATAGAATCAGAATCAATAATCAGTGTCAGTAATGTAAGTTTACTAGTTAAATAATTTTTTTTCAGAATATCGTAAGCAGAAATTGATTTTTAATTCTGTATATAGGGGAGTGTAGTCATGAGTGGACCACCTTGCGATTCTTGGTAAGAGAAAAGTCGATGCATTTAATTGAAAATAAATTGTGATAGGTGTGGGTTGTTCTTAAAGTGGTTTTAGAGGAAAACCGAAGTTTTTTGATTTAAGATAAGTTAATCCCTATTGAAAATTCCGACGCCGTCTCCTACGCCGGATACCCTGTTGAAAATTCCGACCTCGTTTACGACGTCGTATTCTAAGTAGTTTGTGACGTAGTAAACGACGTAGTAAACGACGTAGTAAACGACGTAGAAAACGACATAGTAAACGACGTCGTAAATGAAAGCGGAATTTGGGATAGTAAATGACGTCGTTTACTACGTCGTTTACTACGTCGTTTACTACGTCGTTTACGATGTCGTTTACTACGTCGTTTACGATGTCGTTTACGATGTCGTTTACTACGTCGTTTACGATGTTGCAAAAATTATTTTAATATTATTTATTTAGTAATTTAGTAAGTCCAATATCCAATATTAAAAATTTTAATAATAATTTAAAAAATCAATAATTTAAAAAAAAAAATTATTTTTATTATTTTTTAATAGTTATTATTATTATTTTATTTTTAATATTTAAATTAAAATAAAAAAATGGTCATCAAAAAATTAGTGAAACCATTTCTTCCAAAAAAGAATTTGTCTCAAATCCAATAAAGGAGAGACATCGGGCAGAAAAAAATTTCGACAAAAAAAAAATTTTCGATCACTGCTTATATACCAATCTAATGGCACCTCAACTGCGAGAAACAGTTATGATGTTCGCCCTCCCTGTGGCGTTGAGCGAACTTAAGTCCAGAGCTGAGCCATCAGCGCAGCGCGGAAACATTTGAAAAATTTGATTTTATTAGATATTTTATTTTATTTTAAATATGACAAATAATTAACTTAATAAATAATTAATGTCATAAATAATTATTAATAACATAATGTCATACTTAATAATTCGTTAATTAATTATTTTTAACGAAAATTTGACAAAAAAAAAAATTTGTTGGCCAAAAAAAATATTACCATTAAAAAATAATTTTTTTGTTAAATTTTCGTAGTAAAAAAAATTTTTTCAAGACAATTATTTGTGACCTAAAAAAATATCACGATGAGAATATAATTAACAAAAAAAATTACTCGTAGCACAGAAAAAATTTCACCATGAGAAAATAATTTTTTTAAAATTTTATTTGTAAAAAATTTATTGGTAGCTCAAAAAAAATATCACGATGATAAAATAATTTTTTGTCAAATTTTCTCTGTAAATAAATTAATTAACTAAATAACGTACCGTAAAACGGGGTTATTTCGCTCATTGCGGGTAAATTCGCTCACCCACTTTTATGCTTTATTTCAGCTTTGAAATAAAGTTTAATACATTTATTAGCCGGTTAAATTTTCGTAGTAAAAAAATTAATTAACTAATTATTAAGCTAACTAGCAAAATTAAACGCGCGCAAGCGCGCCAAATTGAGGATTTAATTATTTGTTATAAAGAAATTAAAGATTAATATTATTAATAATAATTTAATTTATTAGAATATTATAACATATTAAATGATAATAATGAAAATTATATGTTTACAGGCTTCGGATTATATGACTTTTTCCGACTTTTTTTCAAAAATACGACTTTTATCGACTTATTTTAATAAAATGCGACATTTTTTTTTCATTTGAAAAAAATGTAAATAAAATACATTTTTTTTTGTATAAAATGTAGATCTTCTTCAGATCTTCTTCAATTCAATTATTTAACAAATGAACTAAAATGATTCTTCACTTAATTAATTATTTTTAATAATTTTAATTAAATACATCACAAATTCAATTATATCAACATTATTTTTCAATTAAAATTTTTATGAAATTTAACAATTGTTTATAATTTAAAAAAAAATATCACAATAAAATTGAATTATTTTTTAAAAATTTCAATTCAAAATAAACTAAAATTCAATTATTACCCGAAATTTTAATTCAAAATCAATTAAAATTCAATAATTATCCAAAATTTTCAATTTAAAATTTAATTATTTACCAAGTTTTCAATTTAAAATGAAATAAAATTCAATTATTTTCTAAAATTTCTATTCAAAATTAATTATCCAAATTTTCAATCAAAAATGAACTTAAATTAAATTATTATCCAAAATTTCAATTAAAATTCAATTATTTCCCAAAATTTTCAATTCAAAATGAACTGAAATTCAATTATTTTCCAAATTTAAAATCAAATAAAATTTCATTATTCTCAAAAATTTGAATTCAAAATTAATTGAATTTTCAATAATTTGAATTTAAAAGCATCTAAAATTTCTAAAATTTTCCATCGAAATTTTTTTTTTTGAAATTTAATAATTTCAATTATAACTCTAAGGAAATTCAATTATTTTTAACTATTTTAATAATATTCTTTGAAAATTCAACTATGTGAAACCATTTTTCAATTAAAAATGATTTTCATATTATTGTATTTTGTCCGCATTTTCTAATAAATTTTTAGTGAAATCATCTAAAATTTTAATTACAAAACACTTAAAGTTTCAATTAATTTCAAAAATCTCAATTTTAAATCTTTGAAAATTCAATTAAATTTAAAAAATGTTTTCCAAAAATTGTTTGATAAATTATTATTAGTTCTGTAAAATTTAATAATTGTTTGAAAATTAACAATATCTTTTGAAATTTAATTATTTCTAAAAATTTCAACTTTAACCCTTCGAAAAGGATTATTATTAAAAAAAAATTTTATTTAAAAATCTGTAAAATATTTTTGTTAAAATGAAAAACAAATCCACTTTTTTTGGAATATAAATCGACTAAAACGACTGTTTTGTGTCTTTAAGTTGATTCGAGGCCTGTGTTTTTATAATTAATATTTAATAGGTAATCGTTGGCCCCTGGTACCTTAAAAATAAATTTTTTTCAAATTACTATCTTGTACGAAATTTCCTGGCGCATCTTTTTTCTCATCATAAATTTTTTGTATTTGTATACAATTTTTGAATCAATATACAATTTTTAAATTAATATACAACTTTAAAAAAAATTTCGTTGGTAAACGTTGTGTACTTCAGCTTCGTGAATTGAATTTTCGAATTTGGAATTTTAAAGAAACTTATTTTATTATTTTATTTTAAAGAAATTTGGAAACACAATTATACAACTTTGGCAAAAATGAGAAAAAGAATTGTCAAAATTTGACACGTCATAAGATTACTATTCAAAAAAACACGTGAAATCAGAAAAGGCCAACTTCAAGTTAGGACAGAAAGACTGACCAAACATTTTATTATTATATAATTATTTAATTAATTTTTTTTACAGAGAAATTTTGACAAAAAAAATTATTTTCTCATCGTGATATTTTATTTGGGCCACAAATAATTTTTTTACTGAGAAAATTTTAAAATAAGTAAATTTCTCATCGTAATATTTTTTTGTGATACGTACAATTTTTTTGTTAAATTTTTTTACAGAGAAATTTTTACAACAAAATTATTTTTCATCGTGATTTTTTTTTAAAAACACGAATTTTTTTTTGAAAGAAAATTAGAAAAAAATTTATTATTTTATCATTGTGATATTCTTTTGTGCTACGAATAAATTTTTGGTAAATTTTCGTAGTAAAAAAAACAACGATTTATTACGGTATTTAGTGAATTAATTGTTTTGGAGAGAAAATTTGACAAAAAAGTTATTTTCTTATCGTGATAATTTTTTTAGGCCACAAAATATTTTTTTTACAGAGAAAATTTAAAGATAATTAAAATTCTCATCTTGATATTATTTTTGTGACGTAGTAAACGACGTAGTAAACGACGTAGTAAACGACGTAGAAAACGACATAGTAAACGACGTCGTAAATGAAAGCGGAATTTGGGATAGTAAATGACGTCGTTTACTACGTCGTTTACTACGTCGTTTACTACGTCGTTTACGATGTCGTTTACTACGTCGTTTACGATGTCGTTTACGATGTCGTTTACTACGTCGTTTACGATGTTGCAAAAATTATTTTAATATTATTTATTTAGTAATTTAGTAAGTCCAATATCCAATATTAAAAATTTTAATAATAATTTAAAAAATCAATAATTTAAAAAAAAAAATTATTTTTATTATTTTTTAATAGTTATTATTATTATTTTATTTTTAATATTTAAATTAAAATAAAAAAATGGTCATCAAAAAATTAGTGAAACCATTTCTTCCAAAAAAGAATTTGTCTCAAATCCAATAAAGGAGAGACATCGGGCAGAAAAAAATTTCGACAAAAAAAAAATTTTCGATCACTGCTTATATACCAATCTAATGGCACCTCAACTGCGAGAAACAGTTATGATGTTCGCCCTCCCTGTGGCGTTGAGCGAACTTAAGTCCAGAGCTGAGCCATCAGCGCAGCGCGGAAACATTTGAAAAATTTGATTTTATTAGATATTTTATTTTATTTTAAATATGACAAATAATTAACTTAATAAATAATTAATGTCATAAATAATTATTAATAACATAATGTCATACTTAATAATTCGTTAATTAATTATTTTTAACGAAAATTTGACAAAAAAAAAAATTTGTTGGCCAAAAAAAATATTACCATTAAAAAATAATTTTTTTGTTAAATTTTCGTAGTAAAAAAAATTTTTTCAAGACAATTATTTGTGACCTAAAAAAATATCACGATGAGAATATAATTAACAAAAAAAATTACTCGTAGCACAGAAAAAATTTCACCATGAGAAAATAATTTTTTTAAAATTTTATTTGTAAAAAATTTATTGGTAGCTCAAAAAAAATATCACGATGATAAAATAATTTTTTGTCAAATTTTCTCTGTAAATAAATTAATTAACTAAATAACGTACCGTAAAACGGGGTTATTTCGCTCATTGCGGGTAAATTCGCTCACCCACTTTTATGCTTTATTTCAGCTTTGAAATAAAGTTTAATACATTTATTAGCCGGTTAAATTTTCGTAGTAAAAAAATTAATTAACTAATTATTAAGCTAACTAGCAAAATTAAACGCGCGCAAGCGCGCCAAATTGAGGATTTAATTATTTGTTATAAAGAAATTAAAGATTAATATTATTAATAATAATTTAATTTATTAGAATATTATAACATATTAAATGATAATAATGAAAATTATATGTTTACAGGCTTCGGATTATATGACTTTTTCCGACTTTTTTTCAAAAATACGACTTTTATCGACTTATTTTAATAAAATGCGACATTTTTTTTTCATTTGAAAAAAATGTAAATAAAATACATTTTTTTTTGTATAAAATGTAGATCTTCTTCAGATCTTCTTCAATTCAATTATTTAACAAATGAACTAAAATGATTCTTCACTTAATTAATTATTTTTAATAATTTTAATTAAATACATCACAAATTCAATTATATCAACATTATTTTTCAATTAAAATTTTTATGAAATTTAACAATTGTTTATAATTTAAAAAAAAATATCACAATAAAATTGAATTATTTTTTAAAAATTTCAATTCAAAATAAACTAAAATTCAATTATTACCCGAAATTTTAATTCAAAATCAATTAAAATTCAATAATTATCCAAAATTTTCAATTTAAAATTTAATTATTTACCAAGTTTTCAATTTAAAATGAAATAAAATTCAATTATTTTCTAAAATTTCTATTCAAAATTAATTATCCAAATTTTCAATCAAAAATGAACTTAAATTAAATTATTATCCAAAATTTCAATTAAAATTCAATTATTTCCCAAAATTTTCAATTCAAAATGAACTGAAATTCAATTATTTTCCAAATTTAAAATCAAATAAAATTTCATTATTCTCAAAAATTTGAATTCAAAATTAATTGAATTTTCAATAATTTGAATTTAAAAGCATCTAAAATTTCTAAAATTTTCCATCGAAATTTTTTTTTTTGAAATTTAATAATTTCAATTATAACTCTAAGGAAATTCAATTATTTTTAACTATTTTAATAATATTCTTTGAAAATTCAACTATGTGAAACCATTTTTCAATTAAAAATGATTTTCATATTATTGTATTTTGTCCGCATTTTCTAATAAATTTTTAGTGAAATCATCTAAAATTTTAATTACAAAACACTTAAAGTTTCAATTAATTTCAAAAATCTCAATTTTAAATCTTTGAAAATTCAATTAAATTTAAAAAATGTTTTCCAAAAATTGTTTGATAAATTATTATTAGTTCTGTAAAATTTAATAATTGTTTGAAAATTAACAATATCTTTTGAAATTTAATTATTTCTAAAAATTTCAACTTTAACCCTTCGAAAAGGATTATTATTAAAAAAAAATTTTATTTAAAAATCTGTAAAATATTTTTGTTAAAATGAAAAACAAATCCACTTTTTTTGGAATATAAATCGACTAAAACGACTGTTTTGTGTCTTTAAGTTGATTCGAGGCCTGTGTTTTTATAATTAATATTTAATAGGTAATCGTTGGCCCCTGGTACCTTAAAAATAAATTTTTTTCAAATTACTATCTTGTACGAAATTTCCTGGCGCATCTTTTTTCTCATCATAAATTTTTTGTATTTGTATACAATTTTTGAATCAATATACAATTTTTAAATTAATATACAACTTTAAAAAAAATTTCGTTGGTAAACGTTGTGTACTTCAGCTTCGTGAATTGAATTTTCGAATTTGGAATTTTAAAGAAACTTATTTTATTATTTTATTTTAAAGAAATTTGGAAACACAATTATACAACTTTGGCAAAAATGAGAAAAAGAATTGTCAAAATTTGACACGTCATAAGATTACTATTCAAAAAAACACGTGAAATCAGAAAAGGCCAACTTCAAGTTAGGACAGAAAGACTGACCAAACATTTTATTATTATATAATTATTTAATTAATTTTTTTTACAGAGAAATTTTGACAAAAAAAATTATTTTCTCATCGTGATATTTTATTTGGGCCACAAATAATTTTTTTACTGAGAAAATTTTAAAATAAGTAAATTTCTCATCGTAATATTTTTTTGTGATACGTACAATTTTTTTGTTAAATTTTTTTACAGAGAAATTTTTACAACAAAATTATTTTTCATCGTGATTTTTTTTTAAAAACACGAATTTTTTTTTGAAAGAAAATTAGAAAAAAATTTATTATTTTATCATTGTGATATTCTTTTGTGCTACGAATAAATTTTTGGTAAATTTTCGTAGTAAAAAAAACAACGATTTATTACGGTATTTAGTGAATTAATTGTTTTGGAGAGAAAATTTGACAAAAAAGTTATTTTCTTATCGTGATAATTTTTTTAGGCCACAAAATATTTTTTTTACAGAGAAAATTTAAAGATAATTAAAATTCTCATCTTGATATTATTTTTGTGCTACAAATATTTTTTTGTTACATTTTCGTAGTAAAAAATTAAGTAACTAATAATTACCGTAAAACAGGGTTATTTCGCTCAGTGCGGGTAAAGTCGCTCACCCATTTTTTTGCTTTAAATTTGATTAAAAACTAAAATTTAGTATTTCTATTAACAAATTTAACATTTTTACCTGGTAATAAATGTATTAAACTTTATTTCAAAGCTGAAATAAAGCATAAAAGTGGGTGAGCGAATTTACCCGCAATGAGCGAAATAACCCCGTTTTACGGTACGTTATTTAGTTAATTAATTTATTTACAGAGAAAATTTGACAAAAAATTATTTTATCATCGTGATATTTTTTTTGAGCTACCAATAAATTTTTTACAAATAAAATTTTAAAAAAATTATTTTCTCATGGTGAAATTTTTTCTGTGCTACGAGTAATTTTTTTTGTTAATTATATTCTCATCGTGATATTTTTTTAGGTCACAAATAATTGTCTTGAAAAAATTTTTTTTACTACGAAAATTTAACAAAAAAATTATTTTTTAATGGTAATATTTTTTTTGGCCAACAAATTTTTTTTTTTGTCAAATTTTCGTTAAAAATAATTAATTAACGAATTATTAAGTATGACATTATGTTATTAATAATTATTTATGACATTAATTATTTATTAAGTTAATTATTTGTCATATTTAAAATAAAATAAAATATCTAATAAAATCAAATTTTTCAAATGTTTCCGCGCTGCGCTGATGGCTCAGCTCTGGACTTAAGTTCGCTCAACGCCACAGGGAGGGCGAACATCATAACTGTTTCTCGCAGTTGAGGTGCCATTAGATTGGTATATAAGCAGTGATCGAAAATTTTTTTTTTGTCGAAATTTTTTTCTGCCCGATGTCTCTCCTTTATTGGATTTGAGACAAATTCTTTTTTGGAAGAAATGGTTTCACTAATTTTTTGATGACCATTTTTTTATTTTAATTTAAATATTAAAAATAAAATAATAATAATAACTATTAAAAAATAATAAAAATAATTTTTTTTTTTAAATTATTGAATTATTATTTATTTAATAAATAATATTAAAATAATTTTTGCAACATCGTAAACGACGTAGTAAACGACATCGTAAACGACGTAGTAAACGACATCGTAAACGACGTAGTAAACGACGTAGTAAACGACGTCATTTACTATCCCAAATTCCGCTTTCATTTACGACGTCGTTTACTATGTCGTTTTCTACGTCGTTTACTACGTCGTTTACTACGTCACAAACTACTTAGAATACGACGTCGTAAACGAGGTCGGAATTTTCAACAGGGTACTCATCGTAACCTACTTCGTTTCCGCCTTCGGATCCGACGTCAGATTCTGCATGGCATCCGCAGTCGGAACGACGCCGGATCCGTAGCCGAGATTTAGGATCATTTCCGGCGTCGGACCGTCATCGGATCCGACGTCGGATATTTATTTTAAAAATTTAATTTTATTTATTAAGCAATTTTTTAATGTCAACTATAATTTAATAAATTATTAAGTTTTAAAAATGCAAAAAAAATCGATTTCTTTGACGATATAAACTGTAATACTACCTTAAATTATAAAAAGAAGAACTTTGAATTTCACCTTAATTTGTTTCAGCAATTGTGCCTCAAGATTCTCATAAATCTGATCGTCGGTACCCGTAGCTTCCTCCAAACAATCTTGCTTCGATATAAGATCATATGAATCATCATCTTTGGATTCCAGACCACTTGCTGTCAATAGCATTTTAGCGTCAGGCGATAAGGGAATAGAATTCATATCCACAGGAAGGCCAGATTTACTAGCTTCAATTAGTGGATCTAATCCTTTCGCTTGTCGCAAATAATCCCTTGCAAGTTCTAAGTCTCCATCTTTTTTTGCTTTAAGGGCTGCCATTTTAAATTCCTGTTGTCGTTGTTGTATCATTAGCATTTGTTTATCAGCGCGCGATGTTATTGTCTTTTGCTTTTTATCTAAATCAAAAATAGACAATATTATAAATACAAATGTTATTTACAACTCTAATCAACATGAATTTTTAGTCTGAATTGTAAATGTCATTAATTACTTTCAGTTTTACATTTTGTTTTAACATATGTGACGTGCTCTGAAAAAAGAGACCTAAAAAGAAAACGAATTATAGGTTACATTTGTTACGGAGGTGATATTTTACACTTAAATCAAAACTTAATTGGGCAAAAATGTTAAAATATTTTTTTCCATACACAAAACTTATATTAGACGTAAGATTTAAAACAATTTAATCATAAATAGTAAGTACTTTATAAGATTTATATTAAAGCTACTGACAATTTTTTGAAAATTGCTTTTAAGGGGATACTAAAGTAGTTCTTAAAAACTAAATTTTCTAATTTTAAAGTTCGTAACCCCTCATTTTGTTAAGCATCAAAAAATCAGAGGTATGTATTTTTTGATTTTTTTAAAATTAATATTTAATGGTGCCTCAAAGCACTTGAATTTTTACATGTATTTTGCATGGAAAAAAACGTTTTTTCGTAGATTCGCTATGAAATGATGAAAAATGAATTTTTTTTTATCGGACTATTCTATTTTCTTGATAAATGTTCAAGAAATAAAATCCAATAATTTATTTATGAATTTTTTATTAATAACTATTTTTTAAAGAGCCTCCATAAAACCCCCGAAAAGTGCAAAATCTGGGAAAAATCGTTAGAAAATGTTTACTAATATATTTTATAGTGCACGGAAAAATTATTTCAGTATATTTTACAAAACTAGTTTCGGAATAGCGGATACGGAGAGGAGTTTAGTATAGGTTAAAATAGAATCATTTATAATATTTGAAGAATGTTTTTCACGAAAACTACACTCAAAAAAATTCATGGTAAATTTGACTAAATTTGAACTATTTCTCATAGTTCCAGGAGGCGCCTATTAACAAAAAGTAGTTGAGACAACTATGTAAAAACGGTTAAATCAACTGTAAAATTTAGTAAAAAAAACTATTCAAAGTAGTAAAATTATTATTAATAATATTAGTATTGAGATACATTTTTTCACCCTCTCCCCTACTACTTTCGTTTATATGAGGTAAAATTCCTGAACTGTCACAGGTCCAAAAATGAAGTCTACGGGATCGAGCCAAGATTTTCAGGGATTGTTGTCCTATTGGATAGATCTTCGAATACCAAGTATTGTGAAGTTTTATCAAAACCTGTAGGATGTGGAGGGGGTTGAAATTTCCCACTTTTGATGAACACTCACCTTTTCAAGCCTTTGTAACTTTTTTCCTTTTTGTCGTACAAAAATTTCACTAGAAGGTTTTTTTAGGTTTTTTTACGTACATTTTGATAAAAATTATTAATTTGAAAAAAAAAATTTTTTTGACCCTTTTTTTGCAAAAATAAAAATAAATTTGTATTTTTCTCGACAAGAGGTATTTTTAATTTTTTTTAAAATATTTTCATTCGAAAGCTGAGATTTTTTCCGATGAAATATGTAATTTCCAGGAGGGCGTTTTTTTTTTCTTCGAGTAATGAAAACAAGAGTAAAGAGGTGCACCAAGTATCTCGCGCAACTGATGTGACGCGACATCTGTTTATTCATTGGTATATACAGCATAACTTTACGCTAATAAATTTCATGAAACATTATTGTTTCTCTACTTAAATAATATAATATGTGATTAAGAAGATTTTTTAAATTTTATGAAAGTATTATTATTAATACGATAATTGTACGAACTTCTGTACTTTTAAATTTTTTTATATACAAGGATCTAAGTTAATGAAACTTTAAACTTGATAACTAATATCAATCACAAATAATGGTTTAAAAATAAGCCGTTAAGGTCTTAATGAAAAACGAGATATTAATATGACAAATATTTAGTTCTATTAGATTCAAAACAAGCCTTTGTGGTCTTGGACTCAATACAAAATTTTATTCGCTAGAAATGAGACGTTAAAAGTCTTCAATCAAGCCCATGAGGTCTAGATACTAGTGAGTTGTAACTAGATGTACAACAAAAGTGCCCGAGTGTAAAGTGTCATGGACGCCTTTCCACAAATGTGACGCGTGTCTATAGTTAATCGGAACTAAATGAATTAATTCAAAAGACTCACATCTTCATTCCTGTATAAAAAATTTAAAAACTATGTTTATAAAACATTTTCATATCATGAATTGTTTGTGTCCTATAAATTCAGCTTTAATTGTTATGAGTGTGAAAATAATGTTATATATACAACATAATTTTATTACAATTTTCTCACAAATATAAAAATATATAAATTGTATACAAAAATAAATTGGTCTCTATATGTTTTATAATATAAAGTATGATTTATATCAATAAAATATTGTTTGATGTTTCAAAACTTGTGTAAAATTTCAATAATATGGTGTTGACAGGTTTCATAAAAGTTTAGGTTATGTTAGCTAATTTTTATACCGCGCAGTGGTTTGATTTAAGCCCAGTTTCGGGCTTGTGGCTACTTTCTATTTCAAAAGGCAGCTTATTGTTAGCCCCTACAGTAGGCTTAAAGTAAGACTTATGCTATGAGCGAGTTAGAAACTATATTCGGTCTAGTTTGTGTCCCATATTGAAACTAGCTTCTTTTCGGGTTTGAAACAAAACTTATTTTTTCCTGTGTAGATACTCTTGCCTTATAGAAACTTGGAATGGACTATATGTTCTACATGTTATAACATTCACGAAAACATGAATCTTTTAAACGTTATAAATGACTCTCAATTGGTATCAACGAAATATAAACTCAATTTAGAAAAATATAAAATAGTAAATAAAATATATTATATAACTAAAACATTTTGAGTGACAAAACCTGACAAAACTCTTTTAGTGAATCCAGTTAGTCGTTATGAGTTTTGTTCAATTATTAAAATACAACAAAATATGATATTCTTAATCACATATTATATTAATTAAGTAGAGAAACAATAATGTTTCATGAAATTTATTAGCGTAAAGTTATGCTGTATATACCAATGAATAAACAGATGTCGCGTCACATCAGTTGCGCGAGATACTTGGTGCACCTCTTTACTCTTTTTTTCATTACTCGAAGAAAAAAAAAACGCCCTCCTGGAAATTACATATTTCATCGGAAAAAATCTCAGCTTTCGAATGAAAATATTTTAAAAAAAATTAAAAATACCTCTTGTCGAGAAAAATACAAATTTATTTTTATTTTTGCAAAAAAAGGGTCAAAAAAATTTTTTTTTTCAAATTAATAATTTTTATCAAAATGTACGTAAAAAAACCTAAAAAAAACCTTCTAGTGAAATTTTTGTACGACAAAAAGGAAAAAAGTTACAAAGGCTTGAAAAGGTGAGTGTTCATCAAAAGTGGGAAATTTCAACCCCCTCCACATCCTACAGGTTTTGATAAAACTTCACAATACTTGGTATTCGAAGATCTATCCAATAGGACAACAATCCCTGAAAATCTTGGCTCGATCCCGTAGACTTCATTTTTGGACCTGTGACAGTTCAGGAATTTTACCTCATATATGCCTTAGAATATTTAATTTCTATATACCTAACAGAGAAAAATCCCGAAACGCTGAGGATTGAACGCACGCCCCTAACATTCGTAAGCCGACAATTTAACCAACTAACTACGCACGCACGCTAGGATGACTTACATGATATTTGAGGACATTCTTGTCACTGTGCAGTTAATTTTACTATCCAATGTTGTCAAATTTACTACTTTTAATAGTTATTACCTTCTTTTAATTAATACTTCTCAAACTTTACATAAAAACTTTTTCAACTGCTAAAAATAGTAATATTTACTACAAAATAACAGTTAACTCTACAACAAAAATTATATGTAAGACTTGAAAGTTTTTCTGCATTTAGAAAGAAATGGTTCTTTTAAATACACAAATCATAAAAATAACTATTTTCAGCAATTATTTTAACTATATAAAAACATTAAGTTTAGTTGTTTTTCTGCAACTATGAAAAATTGGTTTTTTCAACTACATAAATCATAAAAATAACTATTTTTAACACTTATTTTAACTACATGAAAACAGTAAGTTTAATTTTTTTCTTCAACTAATAAGAAATGACTCTTTCAACAACACAAATCCTAAAAATAACAATTTTTAGCAGTAGTTTTAACTATTAAAGTGTTGTAAAGCCATTTAAAATCACATGACAGTTATTTCAACTACAAATATTAGTAATTTTAACGAAGTGAAATTGACTACTAAAAATTAGTACCACCAACTGTTTAAGTTTAGTTAAAATGGTTCTGAATATGGTACTTTTAACTGCTTTTTTTTAACTACACATTTTCAGTCATTTTTTGAGTGTAGTTTTCGTGAAAAACATTCTTCAAATATTATAAATGATTCTATTTTAACTTATACTAAACTCCTCTCCGTATCCGCTATTCCGAAACTAGTTTTGTAAAATATACTGAAATAATAATTAAATAATAATTAAATATTAATTTTAAAAAAATCAAAAAATACATATCTCTGATTTTTTGATGCTTAACAAAATGAGGGGTTACGAACTTTAAAATTAGAAAAATTGGTTTTTAAGGACCACCCTAGGGGACACCTCAGTTGTGGCACGAAAAATTTAACATTTTTCAAGAATATTTTCTAAGGAAATCACTAAAAGTTTATTATAACAACTATTTATTTATTTAACTAAAAGTATATAGGATCAGCTGAGGTAAATGCCAAGGAATTTACTAAGTTTCATAAATAACATAAATTTTTTCATTTGAACTGCAATTCTTTCGAATTTTTTTGAATTAAGAATTTTTTTTAAACGAAGTTTATTTTATCGAATAGTACATATTTCGATGTACTAGTAAATAATTTTGCATTAAAAAATATTAGTATTTGTGGAAACTGCAGACCTTGCACTTAAACACCTTTTTTTGACTGCTGCTTGCGGTGACTACGATAAATCAGACAGAGTTTATGGGGGAGCGACACCT